AAAAAAAAAAAAAAACGTTGAATTTTTGAGCTTCGAATCTTCATTTTTGGAGATTATTATAGCAGTGCCACTGCCAATGGCAATTGTGGTGGTGGTTTGATTTTTCTGATCATTCATGCTCTAGACTAGAGTCAAAGTTGTGAAAAGTTATTTATGAGAACAGAACTGCCTCATAGGAGGATGTGGCATTTCAAGCTTGCCTATTTGACATCCTGTTGATTGATTATTGTAAATGGTGTCCCCATTTTCTGAGATTAGTGAAGGAAGATTCAAGGGGTTAAGCTTTTTGATTGTCATCATTGGTCGTCCATTAAGAGTAATAGTTTTATTGTCTTAGGTGTCTGCTTCATAGAATGTTCATGCACCCAGCGCAGCCACCCATTGGACCTCCTGAGGAAAATATCTGTACATGAAAATTTCTTTCATCGCTGAATGATCTGTACATGCTGCTACTCGTTCCTGCTGATACATTCCATTTTATGAGATGCATAATATTGTAAACAACTCTTAAAATTAATGGTTTCATGGAAGGATTTTTTCCATCATTAGACAGATTTTTGCCTTATTAAGATTTTAATTTCTTCTTCAAAAATTGCTGCCAGGAGTAGCGATATATATGTGTTTGTAAATTACACATCTTCATGGGCACTACAGTGGTTTTTCTTAATGTTAGACAGTGATCGTGCCACCTCAAAATGGAGGCAAGATAGTTATTGCAATTAAAGGGAAGAGTACAGCTAAACACCTCATATATCTGGACCTTAAGATGATTGATCGACACATCAGATCATTAACATCACTTACCTCCATTTCTTCTCAAAATTTTTAAGTAATAAGTAACCTAGTATACAAAAATATGATAACATAAGTATGTAGATTGAGTGACAAATGGCTAACTTATGTGCTGATTTTTTGAACTATTGGATTTTAGGCAATGAAGTGTAGCTGCCAGGCACCACCTATTTGAAATTTTGCGGTCTTTATTTTACCTGGTGGGTCCTTGATTGAATATTTGTTGTTGGGACTTTTTGTGGCAAGTGACCTTTTTGGTGTAAGATAATTGCATTTTGGTGCACCAATCAGTTGTGGTGGTTGTAAAATCGTGGGAGGACTGGCTATGCATTTTCTTTTATGAGAGGAGATGGGGTGGTAGAATTGCTCAGCTCTTCCATATCTTTTCAGTTGAATGTGTTGACATGGATACTTATGCGTGTGCAAATATTAGCACAATGCTTACTAAATTAACAAATCTGGTTCAAAAACACTCGTATATTTACACAATAATTGATGTCAACAACCTTGGAGGGTTCTGATTATAGGAATTTAAGATGGGTATCATAATTCTGAGGAATGCATCTCACTAGAACTCCATGGTAACTCGATATGGATTGTGTCCTACAATCACAAGAAAGGCTTCAAGAGCTCAATCAACATCTAAATGTCTACTTAATGAAGGAAAGGTGCACTCATGTGTATAGACTCCACAAATTCTCTGTTCCTATCAGGACATAGACTCCTTATAAGGAAACTAGTTGAACTGACAACTGAACTGAATAGAGATCTTACACAAGATTAATATTATAAATCTCTAAAATTTGCTAAAATATCACTGATAGACAATATGAAAAAGACCAATTTAAATGCAAAATAAAATAGTTGGCTAAATTGATTTTGGATATTAAATATTTTAGCCCTTGTTTGAGCCCCATTTTTCTACCAAAATACATTTTTCAACAGTGATTTGACACCATTTCAACCACACATTTTTCAATAAAATAATATTATACGCAAATCAAAAACTTTTTCTTATTTTTTAACCACACACTTCCCATCAATGCACTATTCAAAAATTCATTTTATCCTCCAAAATGGGGCTCAAACAAGGGCTTAAAGGGGGCTTGTATCTTTCTAGAATTCTCTTTTACATTTGGTTTTTCTTGATCCTTTCAATTTATGATTTCTACTTGTACAGTACAGTACATGCGTTCCTAAACAAAGAGAAAAAATGACACGCAGTCACACACACACACACGTACGGCTTTTCTTTCTGATTTCTACATCTTCTGCCGACATATCTTTGTCGCTTTTGGGTTGCTGTAGGATCCTGTCATGCTTCAAACTGAATGCCTTTGAATATCTTAACCTACCATTTGATTCATCTATAGACGAAGTGAAAAAGCAATATCGTAAGGTGATCTTTTCATCATATCAAATGACCACTTCTGTTGATCATTCATGAACTTTCTTGAAACGTGATTTAACATTAATTCATTTTCTTCCAGTTATCTTTGCTAGTTCACCCTGATAAATGCAAACATCCGCAAGCAAAGGAGGCATTTGGTGGTAAGTAAGTCTCTTCTTGTTTTGGTAGGAAATATGTGATTATGGATTTAGTCCACTGTATATGACCTCTGTAAATGTTTCTAACTGATGATGACTTTGTTTCCATGGTGTGTCTATGCTGTGAAAGAATGTTTCTCTATTCAGTGATTTTGTTTTTCCTTTTCAGTTAGTGAGAATTATCTGTCAAAAATAGTAGTCGACTTTTTGGGAGAACCAAAAGCAGTTTATTTTCCAACATTTTATTCCAGTTCAACCAATCCAATGGTCCAATTCTGTGATTGTAGGCTTTTCATTATTTGAGATATAGCGCACAATTTGGAAAGTTCAATGATATTTCAGGCATGGTGTTACTGTTTACTGTTAGGATATGCATTTTTAAGTTTGTTTATGTACTTGTTCCATGGATAAACTGCTCTTCGAGGAGGTGGAAATAGTTAGCATTTTGGCGATAGTGCTAATCACTATCATAGATACAGTAGTTAATCAAAGTGTGACTTTGAGTGGAGATGGTATATTTATAAGCAGATACAATAGTTGATCAAAATGTGACTTTGGGTGGAGATGGTATATTAATAAGTAATTTTTGCTCCTTTCGTGATAATATAATTTCAAAGATTAGTTCCATGTCAACATAACATCATATTATTAGTTTACTATTTCTATTCCATTCTTTACTACCGGGACAAGACACAGATATAATTCAAACTTTCTATTTAGCTTATTTTTGTCTTCAAAATTTGTGAAAACTGACATTATCTTTGTCTATTATTCAGCATTGGCAAAAGCTCAACAAATATTACATGATCCTTCAGAGAGGGAATATCTTTTGAACCAAGTTAATGCAGCAAAAGGTTTGTGCTAGCTGATTTTTCAATGGCTACACCATGTTTACCATTATTCCTGTTAGAAAGTTACTTTTTTGTGTTAAATGTTATCGCTTCTTTAGGGCTTGATATTCTCAGTTCAGAGACGAGATTTTTTCACCGTGCATCTTTAAGTATATAAACTTGAATTATATCTTTGTTTTTCATTGAGTGACGAGATCTTTTCACTGTGCATCTTTAAGTATATAAAGTTGAATTATATCTTTGTTTGTCATTGAGTATTGTTTGATTGATCTAGTGCCAGCAAGTGTAAAACCTGTATAAAATGCACAAACCCATTATTTCAGAAATTATTATTTTGAGAAACTTGGAAGTGCCAACCATAAAAGTCGATTTATGCACCCAAAAGTCCAATAGTCTTGAGTTAGGAGGTAAAGATTTGTTCTAAGAAGCTGCTTTTTCCCTTTCTCGCAATTTGTTATTGGGTGATCTTTTATCTTTTGTTATCTTATTGATGCTCCCTAGCCTTGGTAGTTCCATTCCTGGTAACAAATAACAATCTCAAATCCCAACTTTCTCCTCTGTTATGTTGTTTGCTTTCCACTCCCTTCCCATCATCTTTTGGTTGAACTGGTAGTGGAATCCTTGAGTTTCTCTCTTCCTTCTAATCTCACATAATAGCCCCATTTTATTTTTCCCTCAAGAACTTTTAAGTTTTCAAATTTTTTGCTGTGATGCTGTAAATGTTGTGACGTGTACTTTCTCTCACTCAACTTACCCTTACATTTTTGTTCTCCTTTTCATTGAATGCTGTAAATGTTGTGACACGTACTTTCTCTCACTCAACTTACCCTTACATTTTTTTTTTCTCCTTTTCATTGATAATCATTCTTTTTTCACGTGCAACATTACTTAAATTTCTCTGGGTGATGTGTAGTCTATTTTATCTTCGTTTCAAATCGACTATTATTAATGCTAGTTTCTGCCATGGTCAACATAGTGGCAATCTTGTTCATGTTTCCGGGCCTAGCACGTTCTGTCTTGCTTGGGCTACTCTTGAGCTCTCTTAGTTTTTTGTTGTGCCGCCTATTGCAGACCACAATTGTCGGCAACACAACATCTGCTTACTTAAAGCTGACTCAAATAAGATCTCGAGGAGAGTGATTTTGAGTAGATATATGCCACAGCTACTGAAAGGGTCAAATCTGTAATCATCATTATCATCTTTATGTGTCCTTGATTATTTTTGTATGCTGGGTTGAACCCCTCTCTCTGTCCCTCCCCCTCCCTCTTCCATGAACACGGTCATCTTGTGGATTCCGCTTTTCTCTTTTTATTATTATTATTTTTTTTTGTTGCTTTTACTTATGTAATTATGTAATAAATGAGTAATCTTGAAGAAGGCTCACTGTTTTAAATATGGAGCGCAGAAGAGCTTAGAGCAAAGAGGAAGAAACAGCTGAAAAAAGATACTGCTAGTAAATTGAAGTCATTAGTGGATGAGGTAATTGATTGGCACCAAGATTGCTTTCTTGAGTATTTTTTCAAATTTATGTTTTTTACCACCCAAAGTCCTGAATAATATTCATGGAAAGATACAAGCTTCGATAGTTTATCTGCTTTTTCGTCCCTGAATGTGTGTATTCTTCACCTTTCGCTAGTCATCATACTATCTAACATGTTATTGTTGATCGGCAAGAAAGAGAATGCACCCCTGTTTGGGCTCCATTTTAACTTACTGCATTTTTCTCTTTCTTCATTTTCAACCACACATTTTTCAATAAAATAATATTACATGTAAATATAAAACTTTTTCTTACTTTTTAACTGAACATTCTTCAAAAAAATTACTATTCCAAAATACCTTTTTTCCAAAATCTCATTAAAATGGAGCCCGAACAAGGGTTGCATCTTGCGAATTTGTGTTTGGATTTTATAACGATAAGAAGATGCATGACTAGATGACAAACAACCCATTTGTCAATAAAACGTGATACAGGGAAAATACGAGCAAGAATATGAACGGTCAGAGGAATTCCAGAAGCAACTAAAATTAAAAGTTCGTGAACTCTTAACAGATCAAGAATGGAGGAGAAGGAAAATGCAGATGAGGGTATGATCACCAC